GAGCTCAGCCTCCTGAATCCTGAGCCATCCGTTACCTAAGCTTGGAACCATTAGCTCTGCAGCCAGATTTCCCAATTCACCCCGCAGCCAATAGCTGTCAGCTTCGGCCGAGCGCCATAGCCGTGGGGGTTGACTTCTGCTGCTCTTTGGCCTCCCTCAGTTTACCCTCCCGCAATACCGGTGTAACTGGTTCCTAGAAATTGCTCAGAGATCTCACCTGCAGTAAATCTGGCTGGGACAGATTGAAAAACACCCAAGGCAAACGACTCTGTCAAGACACGTCTAAATGGATCTAACGTATCCATAAGGAGAACTTACTATTATTACTTGGCTAGGCTTTTTGTTTGGGTCGGTTGTGGGGCTTGAACTCAGGGCCTGGGCGCTGTCCTTGAGCTCTTTATGCCCAAGGCTGGTTGCTTGCTCTATCACTGTCAGCCACAGCTCCACTTCTGGTTTTCAGGAGTGCCATGGACTTTCCTGCCCAAGCTGGCCTCGAACCACGATCCTCCTATCTCAGCCTCCTGAGTAGCTGGGTTTTGGGCATGAGCTGTCAGTGCCCAGCTTGCTAGGTTGTTTTCTGTGTTCTGGGGCTTAAACTAAGGTCTGGGTGCTGATCCTTAGCTTTTTCCAGTCCATTCTGGTACTCTCCACGGCTTCCCATCTGACCTTTTGATGGATGGTTATAAGAGATGAGTCTCACTGACTCTTTAAACTCTGCTGGCTTTGAACCAGGATCCTCAGATCTCAGCCTCTGAAGGTGCTAGAATGACAGGTAGGACCCACGCGTGCCTGGCTAAACCTGAGCTTTTAAAAAGCAAGGAGGAAGAGTCGGTTTCCGATGGACAAAACAGCTGGTCAGAGATGAATGAGAGACCAAGACAGTAACAGACACAGGGTGGGCGCTGGTGCTGGGGCCTGTAATCCCAGCTACCCAGGAGGCTCAGCTCTGAGGCCCAAGACTCAAAAGACAGCGCAGGCCGGGGGTGGGAAGAAGTCTGGGGGCCGGAAACAGAGCTGTGGTTGGCGTGGTGCAGCACCAACCTGGAGTGGCCAGCACTGCCCATCACTGAAGGCCCCGAGGCCAAGGCTCGGTGCTGGCCCACGCCTACCAGAAGGTTCCAGCACCCCTGATTGCTCTGGAATAGTTGATGAGCAGCGAGAAAACCAGAAATAGAGTCAGGTGCCCCCCAGCCCCCCTCCCCCGGCCCCTCCCCCCC